GCCACTGCCACCTACTCTTGGCATTCATGGCTTTGATGAATTGGACGCCAAAGAGGGCGCAGAGTGCAAAATGCTGCACTCCACCGAAAGAGGAGTCTCGGCCCCAGTGGGATCCACTTACCACCTATAGCTGGTAACCAGTGGTTTCAAAAGAGGAAAACCATAGACCGAACGAAGGCGCTGGTTCCTTCAATCGTGATCACTGGGATCCACTGGGTCGGATCATCGTCCATCGGAATTGGGAAGTCAAAGGTACGGAGAACTCATCCATCCTTTCTTGCGCCAATCAGTATACCGTAGGTGACCTAACGGTCTCCTTTCGACAACATATATCACACTCCCCCCCAAAGAAGTCGGAGGATGTGAAAACTCCAGAACTGGAGAGAGAGGTGTATGGCATGGTGTGCTCGTCCTTCCGACTTGCTTCCATGTCAAGTAGTAAAAACCTCCTCTCTTTCACCTGGCATCGCCTTTTTACGCCACTGTGCCCACAGGCGGGCCTGGACGCGGTGACCCCGTGCAGCGAAGAGGACCTGCAGAAGGCGCCGTCGTTCCACGACCGGTCCAGTATGGCCAGTGGGACGTATACAGCTTTGTCTTTGGTTGTTTTCCATCATCGCTACATACATATGCATGTGTATTTTATATATAATTAATATATATATATTGTTTTGTTTTTCCCATCCGGTGTTCAAGGATGGTTTTTGGTTGGATGATGACACTAGGAACCAACCTTTGGTTCTGACCAAAAGTACCGGACAGCCGTTGCCGTGTTGGACACCCGTAGCCGTTGGACAATCCTCTTAAGCTTTGAGGAGTGCCGACCCTCCTACCGACCCTCCGCCTTTTGGTCTGTGGGTCGATATGCATCGTTGAGGATTACAACTCCAAAATCATATGATATAATTCGGGATTCGGTAGGGCCAGGGCGGGGATGCAGAATGATGCAGATCTTTGTTCCATGGTGTTTCCCATTTGTCTTATTTCTTCACTGTGACTACTAGCACATCGTTGTTTGTGAAGTGAGGATAGTTCCTGTGATATTGGTAGCAGAATCACCTCAAGCTCGTTTGGGTTCGATTTCATTCATGTTGACAAAAACAGATTTGTTTGACAACAAATTGGGAGAATGGGGTAACGAGAATACAAGAGGATTCCGCACCCAATCGGAATGCATGTTTGGCCAAGCTGGACAGATGGGGATGGGTATCAAACATGAGCTATTGGGGGATGTTTTTTGTGGAAGTCATGTCATATTCACGTGACAAAGAGTATGGACTCGCCGTAGAGATGCTGAAAACAGGCTTATATACAGGTGGACTCCCTGCTCGCTACTCCCTTCCGTCCTTCCTTCGTCACACGGTTCGTAAGGTTCCACTGGTCGGTCTCAGGCACAGCTGGCGAAGAGCAAGGCCTTTCAGATGGCCAAGCTCATCCCCCCGACCTTCGCTGCCGCGCACCGTCTCGTCGGGGGCCCCGCACCACGCGTCGAGCACCACGCGACGACACAGAAAATCGTCGACCGTGGTGTTTGGTCACGTCACGCTGCGAAGGTGAAACAGAGGAGTCAGTCGGGAGTTTGCGCACACTGCATGTTGTGGGAAAACTGCATGTACAGCATGTACGTCCATGTACCACTTACCAATAAAAATAACATTCAAGTCGATGATGCGCCCGCCTGTGTGCAGCACAGTTCAAGCCAAGCTGCTGCGGATGTTTCTTCAAGACCCTTCAATCAGCTAGAACTTTGGGCGCCCTTCCATGCAAAGCCCAAAAGAGTTGTTTTACTGCGTTGCGACAATCGCAGATCCAAAGTACAATATAATTATATACAGTATAATGCAAAGAAATGGAAACAAGAGTGGCGGTGGTCTTGGAAGCGTGTAGGAGCGTTAGTCCCTTTGGGAAAACACATAGCCATCCTTACAAGCAGTCAGAATGCCTGGAGCTTTACACGCTCTGACTGCTTCGCCAGAAAGTTTATTTGCCATCGCACATGGGCAGTGGAGACCAGACAGCTAACGAACGACATTCGATGAAGAGCATGGCCTTGAAGCAGCCAGGAAACACATGCTGGATGCCTTGTGGGCCCCATCAGAGAACAAAAGCTGTCAATTCTGAACATCAATAACAGTAATTATATAATTAGGTACCCTCATTCTTTCAAAGTACGGATGTATTGTAAGCAAAACCAAGGTCGTGCACTTTGCTCATTGTTGTTTGCCAAATAGTTCTATTGAACCACCCTGGCAACCCCGGGCAGCTCTAGACAAAAACGCTGCTTATGCGCGTACAACAAAGCAACCAGTTTCCACGTTGCAAGAACTTCCAAAATATGCATTCTCACGGATTGGATTTGTAACCTCACTTCCAAAATAACAAACTTCCTCATGGATTGTTTGTGTTTTTCCACGGCCACATATTCCAGACTCTGGAATCCAGAGCGCTTTGTTGAATTGACAGCCGCACGAAAGATAGCGCATCCCGCATAAGTTCTCCCAACGGATAAGGCCCTAAAAACAAACAATTTAACAAACAAGCCAAACAGCACAAAATATGCACATGACTCAACAACTGAGGGTCTAGGATTGGTGCACCTAGGAGTTCTGAGAGCAAAAGGTCTAACAACATCTTTAAACCACTTTAGACCCAGTCAACTTAAACAGGTTAGATCCCAAATATCGGATTTGGAGTCCTGAGCTCTTTTGGCCTAAAGGCAACATAAACCCTCGAGGAATTTCATGTCAGACCATTTTCAACAAAACAAGCTATTTTCCTGATGAACTTTCATGTATTGAAATGTGTCATTCGATAGATAGCAGAAAAACCCTGCTCTTAGACTTCCATGGCTTCACCGATCATGGCATTCTGAAGCCCTCGCGAGCGACTGCAGAGGAAACGAGACGCATCCAACCACCAAAGGCCGTTTCTCTCCTACAAGTTCATGTGATAAATGGAAGTGATCACATCGAATAACAGTAGGCACCTCAACAAGCACCTTCAAAGGAAAGCCCTTCTGAGAAGCGAACACCGGCGCATCTGGAAACTCAAGCCACATGTTGTCTTTCTTGGTGCGCAAGTAGCGCAAGCAAATAGATCTTCTGCGCACACACACACACACCTGCCCACTAGTTGCCGGTATCACATATAGCATATATATATATAGAATTTGAAATGCATGTGGAAGAGTTGGGACCTGAAATGTTGAAGAATGCGGAAATAAACAGGTATAGAACTTCATTAGCTTTCTGCTAGAGTTGTATTTGCGGCCCACTGGTGTAGTCGATTGGGATGGGTTGAAACATGATCAACACAGGTTACGAAGGTCCCAACGGTGCAAGCCCTTTAAACAAGCCCGCACCAATGGCCAGTGTGACAACCAGGAGGGACGTTAAGTCGTTGATGTTTGCAGTGTTTGCCACAAAGAAAGGGGTTGCTAACCCAAGACCTAAGACGGAAGTGGCACGGTCGGCGAAAGTGCTGTCCAGTGCTTCGTTCGTTTTCCTGACCCTTCGATGCGAGGGCCTTCACCCGCCACGTTCAGCTTTGGACGAGATTCGACCCCAAAATAGACACGAACGAAGATTGAGGATTTATTTCTTAACTTTCCTAATTTTGGCAACGAAAGCGTGAAAAACTAAAACACGATTGGAGGTCTCCTTGTGTGCTGGCACGCAGCGAGGAATCCTGAGCTGGATCGCTGTCCAGAACTGGAGGCCAAATTGGTGGTTTTCGCGGCGCATTGATCCATTGATCCTGCCCTTACGAAGGGTGGGTGCTTGAAGGGTCCCTCCCATGGGGGCTCTGGAAGATGTAAAATGAGCGAAGTATGTCATGCCGTGCATCAATTGCTGACACGGAGTCACTTCGGGGGTGGTAGTGATTTGGAGCCGCAACAAGTTCGCATTCCCAATCTCAAAGGGTCCAAGAGTCTGCGACCCTGTCCTTTTTTGGACAACAACCTATGGACCAAGTGGCAACGGCTTATATGAAATCCGGACCCCCCCCCCCACCTCTTTAAGATTATGTTCACCCACCCCCGCCTCTTCAGGATTGTGTTCAAAATAGCTTGGGTTTGTCCTATTACATGTAACAGCCGGTAAACAAGTATCGCTATTTTAGAGATGCCGGCCTGCAAGCTAATTAGCCATCATCATGCACTGGGCCCTGGGTGTCTGGGATAGTATGATAGTACACCAAAACTATAGTTTTCCTTCTGCCATTGAACCCCACGGGTACTTTTGAGTTCAACCCACCGAACCACCGTGAATGCGTCCATTTGGCGGTTTCAGGTGGGAACCCCAGTGGCCTTCTTTGCGCAGAATCGGACTCTCTACGGCAGGGGCTCTCTGATTCGTTGGACCAGGAGGTTTCATGGAGAAGGAGGTGTCTTCAACAGACACCGATGAGACAAAAAAACACATTGTTGTATATAATCTTTTGTGGGATTGGTAGGGGAAAAGTGATCCGTGAAATTTCAGCACCTTCCACATTCAGCAAGTCGAAAAGTTCTGGCAGTTGAATCCAGGTGTTCAAAACTGAAAACCCATCCGCAATATGCGCTTATCTGCACGAGTGCACATGAAACACTGGACAACGTCACTTTAGTGTTGTGTATATGAGCAGAAATGATTTCTGTAAAACACAACAATATATTCTAGCACAATCCTGAGTACAAAGTATGCTGGAACATTCCAAGGTTCAGGATGAACTGACATTCCACCCAAGACGGGGAATGGACTTGATGCATATGACTCATGTCATGTCCTTAACTCACCAGCACACTGCCCGGCAGGCGCCCGCTCTCGATGTCGACAGCGGGCGGACCTCATCGACTGAGAGAACCAGTGTTGTCCTGTCAAGTTGCCTTAATGAGTCAAGACCTGTAGCTGGACCACCCACCTGTAGCTGTCCAGTGACACTCTGCGGCACCGGCGCGTATGACACTCTGCAGAGAAGCAGGGTCACCAGGTTGGTCTTCGTCCGCATCCCGCGCAATGTTTGGCTCAGAACGCTTGAAATAGTGACCGGTCTAGAAGCCGTGTTGCCACTATGCCGAGGATGCTTGTGGGGCGACCTCGGGTTGGACGAGGTTGGAGAGGCTTTGCCTAAATGGAAGATCGGTAGACCATGGTAAACTGCCTTTGCAACTAGAAGGCAATGCAAGTCTTGGTGCGCATCTCAGATTTCTCGAATTGGCAGTTGATTGGAAAATAAGAACCGAGAACCGTGGTTGGGTCTCCTGCTTGTACGATTAATGTTTGATATTGACTTGCAGAATCAATGATGGAAAGACCATGGCCACGGTGTTGGGGCTTTGTCTCGGGGTGTCTCGTTTGGATAATTCGATTTGACAATGTTCTACTATAAGATGATATTATGGAACAACTGAGGAATGTACTGTACTTAGATACCAGAAGTACACGTACCCCAGAACCCAAAAGCAATGAATGCATGACTGATACAATGAACGCACGCATTAGATTTTAGATTGTCTTTCTATCCAGGGGGCCCACATGGACATTCGGTCAGACATCAACACTGGCTGGGAGGAGCAATACCTTCAATGCGGTGGCCGCCAGCATGGTGCTGGGGGGCCTATTCAGCATTATCCTGATGGAAGATCGAAGCTTGGCAGATCTGTATCGGTGCAGAAGATTTGGTGGTACTGGTACTGCAAGAACGTTCCTTTTTTCACCCATGACCTAGGGCTTTGTTAGGTGGGCCGGTTCAGACACTCCACGCAACATGAGGAGGTACTTGAACCATTTTGAAAGATCAGAGGAGTATATCTTGTATACAGTATATATATAACTATGTATGCATATATGTAGGTTCATCATTCCGTTTTACTAAGTGCAATGATGCAAGAGTGGCATATTGCATCTCTTGGTTCCAATTAATATATACACAAGTCTACCACTCATTCACACTGATTTTGACAGATGATCCCAGTGAATCCAAAACAATCCATATATCGAGCAGATTCCTACTTCTGGGGAGTCACACAACGGCCAATGTAGCTGTGTAGCTGCTCAATGCATTGGATGGTTAGGGGACTGTGGATGATTTCCACCCTAGAAAATGACCTGAAACGCTTTAGATCAGTGTCATTCAGCACAAGGTATGGTTCCAGAGGTTATCAGCAAAGCTGCAGCAAGGCAGCTTGTGAATCTGTCCACGTGTTTGCTTCTGCTCATGTCATGTTCTGGGTGCTCACCAGCAAAGCAACCAGTTGTTGAAACCCATGTTATGCGCTGAAAGAAAAGCACAGATGCGTTTGAGCTGACATCATCTTGCAAGCCACAAATGCCATGCAAGGGCAATGCACGGGCGATTGTGAACCACCCAACGGGGCAATCCTCTTACGGCGCATCTGCTGGGCGCACCGAACGTCTCTTCGTTACGCGCGCGGGACCGCGCACACGCTTTTGACGCACGAATCGACGGAGAATTGCTATCCTTTTTGGGCCTGCAACAGCGCAATGAAGTCCGAACCGAAGGTCGACAAATTCAGATGGAACCTTTTTTTGTATTGTTTGCTGATGGATCCTGTGCTTGATGCTGATGCGGAGCGAGGGAATGTGTTGTACCTTTATTCCTTGAGGCTTTGATTGAATGTGACCGTTCATTCTTGCATGCTCCTGGACCTGCCGCTGTCTACCAGCGTTGCCAAGTTGGACCTTGCCCAGGAATCAAGCAGGTCTTCATGCCAGTTCAGGAGGCCACCTTGTCCAGCACATGATGTGTCTATTCACAACTTGAGATCTCTTGAGAATCTGGAACTTTCAGTTTATATTCTTTCCATGTCCTTCCCGACCTAAGTACCTGGTGGTTTTCTGGGAGCAGTTGCCAATGGTAGCCAAGTCTAGAGCAGTTGCCTGAGGGCAAAACGCCTCGGAAATCCAGGGGAAATCGGTCACAGAACATCGAACCCATGTATTTTACAATAATCATAAGCTCATATCCTCAGGCAAACGGCCAAATTTGTTGAACACATATGTGTATATATATATTATATAATATATATATATTATAATATATATATATATATTGAACTTACATTGTTTGTCTTTAGGGTGTACATGGATCGGATCCATGGCTTGCAAGGGCTTGGAAATCACTTGGAGTCAGCGAGTTCTGTTGTATTTTTTTCCGAGCTCCTTGGACCACGTGCTTCAGAAGCACGGTTGATTCACCTGCATGATGCATGACTTTTGGGTGATTCTGTTTCCATCCATCGGGTGAAACACCACACCACGCTGCTGACCTGGAAGGCGCTGGAGGGGACCTGGTTCGCCAAGCTGTGGCTCTTAATCTTGCTGAGCAAGGCGCTGGTCCAAAAATGCCGTCCACCTGGTGTTCTTTGTTTGCCTTTGATCACCACTGCTATTAACATACTGACTATTGTTATGTGGTTTTTTCCGTTTTTTGATCACCACGGTCCGGCACCGGTGCCGGGTGCGTCGTCCGCCCAAGGGCCTCGGTCCTCGGTCCGCCAGGCACCAGAGCCCAGTCCGCTGGTGGTGCTTTTGGCGGCCCTGGTGACCTTCTTCCCTCCGGAGCAGCTTTGGCCACTTGGGCGGAGTCTGCGGGCGGCTGTTGGGGGGGAGGAAAGGTGTTGGGGGTTCGTTTCAGTTTGGTTTTGGTAAGTTGGGTTTACCAGCTTTTGAAATACATGACAGAGAAAGCGCTTTCCTTGTCATGATTTGTCATGCCCCCAGCCATAGCGTCCATGAAATCAGTGCTACAGACAATCATAGCACAGCTTGAACAGGATGTCCAAACAAACTCGCAATCACACGGACCTCACGATGATCCGTGAGGGAATTACCGAGTTTTTGCTACTCCTGAGACCAATTTGAGGTGAATCGTAGTGGTGTCAACGCCGGGAGAGCTGATCCTTGCTCCGTTCGTAGCGGCCTCCAACCTATACTTGCAATGGCCTCCACCTGTCCTGGTTATCACCGACCTCGCGAGTATCACCATGATATCACCGACCTCGCGACCTCATCTGGTCGATCGAGAAGCCGCCTAGGCTGAGTATGGTCGAGTCCATGCCGAAGTTTGTGGGGGACGCCCGGGGATTCGATCGACGGGATGGATGGTTGAAGCAAAGGGATTTGTGATCTTTCTTGACTTGACTCAGCAGCTCGGAATAAAGCAGTTCTTTTTTGGTCACGGCAATTACAACGGTCCAATCCAGAGTTGACCATCCTCAAAGCTACGAAAAGTGATGATTTGGTGAAACACATGGAGTTGGGCCAAGCAACCTTCCATAGGAAGTGCGTTCAATGGTTCAATGTCATGTAATCTTACGCAAGCACAAACGCCCTTGAACAGTGGCCACAGGATGCCATTGTGCCTTAAACATCCTTAAACTGTAAACTGAGCTGGTCATCCTTGCAGCACTGGCCAAGACATAATTAGACTTCATCCTGATCAGAGTTACGCTCACGTGCACATCACTTGGTTCCTTAGCAAGAGTAAGACTCTTCAACAGATCAAATCGAAAGACCACAGATCTGCCGTGTCCACCACATGTTCCTCAAACTCAGCTGGGTTTGCTTAGTGTTGCGGTCCATGGGTTCATGAGGGAATGAGCCCAGCCCCATCGCCGCGACTCGGTCCCTCCGGCGTCGCGGCTCGGTCCCTAGGCCATCTCAAGCGTTTGGAGCCCGTGCCGGGGGGGGCGACCGGACGGGCGTGCGTGCGTTTTGAACGACAGGACGATGGGAGCGAGCAGAGTGGAGGTACCAGGGGCATCCACATGGCCCATCAAACACCTGGCTTTCCTTAGCAAAATGACCCTTGAAAGACAAAACAACGCAACAACTAGCCACTTTGCAGTACATAGATCAACAATGATAAGCGCAGCAACATCTTGGAAAGATAAACATGTTGGGTCCCAATCACACAAAGAGACATGCAGTATTATAGTTCCAATACAAATGCCGCTACATACAGCATAAAATATGTTAGCACTTGGGGGGGGAGGCCTTTCCGGCCTTTCCGTCTTTCACGCCATTGGAGCGCGCGCCCAGGTCGACCCCACAGGTCAGGCCACGATGATGTCCCTGCTGCTGTGGGTCGCCTGGCAGAAATCCCAATTCCATGTGCCCAACTGCCCAACCAATTGGGTCTGAGGGTCTGAGGCTGGAGATGTAGACCTGGTTTTGCTTAGGGAGATGTGTGATTTTCCTGTTTGGGGCGAACCCCTGTTTGGGGAAGATACGTGTGTTTTTGTTTTTTCCAGCTTCCGTAAGTAAGTCCAAGTAGATGTCGTCCCCTGATCCACCATTTCTGAAGTGAGTGACACTTGGGTTGGGGTGATGGGTGATGGATCAGCAAAGCGTCGCTAGGAAGATGAGAACTTCCCTTCTTTATCTACTGAAAATGGTGCCAGGCAGTTTCTAACCAAAGTTTGCATATGTTCAATGAAGTGAATCTATCTATAAGGACAATCTATAGAAAACCATCGTTTTCACCCTCAAAACTACATCACACGTCTATCGCAGGGAAGGCCACTTTACACTGCCAACCAAGATCTCCAGCCAGGCGCAACAGGAAAGGTGAAAGCTGCACATGTCGCTTCTCCTTGCCGTGGTGCCGCACCTTCCGTGCTGAGTGTTTTCGGGCCTCACGTGTCCCGTCCCAAAACCCTGCCCGCGTTGCGGTGATAGACCACCCGCAACGGCACGCGAAGGTCCCAGAAAACGCATGCCGCAAAGACCGGAATTCCTCACGCGAGATGGATGGTGGAAGCCGTGATGGTACCATATAATTATACCGGGAAAAAAATCATTGCACGCCAATGTAAAGTTCTGTAAAGACACATCCCAAAACATGCAAGACGCAACACTGTTCGTTAAGATTTGTGTTGAGCATCGTGTCGAACTATCCGCTCAAGACTCAACCATAGTCTAACTGTTAGCATCAAACTTTTGTGGCTTGAACATTCCATTTCATGCATCGTTTAGGCGACCTTTTGCATCGTTTACTTGGTCAATGGCTTCCTGCTCTACGCCGTGAGGAAGCCGAGGAATCTGGAGAAACGCACGGCTATTGGTCTCGAGCACCCCTACATGGGTGTGTATTTCCGGGAAACTGCCTTGCCCAATGGGTAGACCGGTCTATTTCCCTTCTTCATCCCTTCTTCCAGGTGGTCGATCTGGGAGGTCTCCATTTCTTTTAAAACACACCTACATTTTCACTGGTTTGGTACTGTATGCCTCCCAAGCAGTCCAGGATTGTGTCCATCACCAGGGCACGCGCACCTCAAAAGAGGGCGTCGACCATAGTGGGACGCGTTCTTCCTGCGATATCCAACCCTCAAGTCCTCAAGTGTAGGTTCTTTGAACGCAAATTAAGGAAAACGCAATGTCTGAATGAACAATGTGTTGTAGATGTTTTCCTACAAGATAGCAAAGAGACTGAGTCGATGGTCCCTCTACCCACGGCTATCGTTTTGTTAGTTCAGCCGAGTTCTTTGGGAATAAGGTCAAAACCTGGAGCCCAACATCTAGCTTCACCTCCCAGGTATTTACGTCAAACCAACCCACAGCCATATATTATTGCTGCTCCAAGCAACGATTGATGAATCGCCTAAAAGGGACGTGTATGAGATCTGAATGCTTGTTTCGTTGGGTTTTTCTTGTCCTGCCCAACCCAGTACCAATGATTGGTGAGCCCACTGAAGAGATGAAAAAGAGGGTTCACCTTCATTTTCCGAAGCTGAGGAAGTCGGCTGGCCAGTATGTCGGATGAAACATCGAGACATTTGAAACATCAGGCCTCAGCAGGCAACTTGAAATCTGACAACATGTTAAGCAACGCCACTGGAGTTAGAGACCCGAGTTTGACGACTTGTAAGAATTGATCCATATTTATTCAAATATAAGTGAGCTTTTGTGTGGACATGATGTTGAAGTCATTCATCAAATCGGTTTGTTTGTTTGTTTGTTTTAAGACGTGCTATCGATTTGATTCTGGTTTCAGACCTGTTTTTGTTCGAAACCTTGAGAAAGCCTTACCCAACCTCCTTGCAGTGATTTGGTGGCCCACCCTTTCTGGCAGTTCCACCAACTCGTCTCAGTACTCGTCTCATGGCACCCCACCCCATCCTTTTCTGCGCACAGAACCGTGGCAGAACCAAGTGATCCTCAGGTGGAGATGGGCTTGCCTCAGACCATTGCGGGCTACCGACTGCAGACGGTGAAGTGGGGGTGCCAAAGCCGGTTTCGCGTCGGCGCTGAGAATATCCGTCCCCACAACATGCCACCTGCTGCAACCAGCTATGGAAGCTATGGAGGAAGGGCTGGAAAGGTATGAAGGGGTCAATAAGCTGCTACTATTGCTGCGGAGAGGGATCTCAGTAGATTAACTTGGAGCCATCCCATTTAGAGTGATCTAGGATTCCTTCAAAGAAATGTACTTTGTTTGTAAGGATTGCTGGTTTGCAGGAAACTTATGATGTTTCCTGTTCCCTTTGTGAGGAGTGATCAGAATCATGTCTAAAGACTTAAGGACCCACATCCTCCCCAGCAAACCAGACAACCTAAAACCAGTGCTTGGGAGATAAAACGGACACTCTTCTAGGTTCTACCATGTCGACACTAGGAGCGACACAACTTGGTTTGGTTTCACTGGGAGGGCTTGTTATGAAAGCCTGCCTTGTTTTCAAACCCAAACTATATATACCAAACACCCAGTTGTCACTGGTAGATGAACACGGTTGGGTGCACTGGACTGGGACGGCCCTTTTGTGACGCAGGCCTGGCAGCCGACCGCCGCTGAAGGACTTGGCGTCCCTGGGCAGTCGAACTAAGGAACTAACTCCAAAGAACAAGCAGCAATCCTCCTGACTCTGCTGGTTATAGATCTTATACTTCTTCCTCGGTGCAAAAGGACATCGCTGTTTCATCACAACTATACATTTCATGAGCTCACGTGGACTTGGAGAGTGAACCTTAAACACCATGTTTCCCAAAGGTTGGAATTGTTTTTGGTTGGCTCTTGGCTGCATAGTTGGCTGGATGGAATGTTTGCTGGCATGTGCCTGTGCACCTGGGACTCGTTTTGGGAGATGGAAAACCCCAAGCTTTATTGATGTTGGCGGGCAACTCCAGCCCCAGTACTTTCGGTGTACCAGCAGAGGCGAGGATAGTTTCAGGGTTTGATATGTAATATTACAAATCCACTGCCAACATGAGAGAACCTATAGGAGTTGCTATGAGTTGCCCTATGATGCCGAACTTCGCAGGGTTGGGGTCCTTTTCCATCTTTGAATCAGAGTGAATTAGGGAGGGTTTCCAAGATATTAATAGAAAGATGACGTCCAAATATATTTGTAGCTTGTGCATGTATACTATATCTCATATTTCAATTGCAAACTGCAAACACAATATGTCAAGATGTTTTACCTTTGAGAAGCAGACTACATCAAATTTCATAGATAACTGTGTTGAAAAATCTTTCGTGTGTTCAGCCCACGCACAGAAAAATAAAAAATGCCCTGCCATGTCATCACGCGCCAAGGGTGAACTTAGCGCGCACCTGCCTCATAGTACCTTGGCCGCAGAAACGGACCCGATGGGGGGGGTTCTTCTCCCCGCTGGTTCGCGTGGCGCAGGTTCGTGTGGCTCACTGGGTCGCAGAGACCTGCGAAGCTGTGGAAGACCGGATTTTTTTGGGGGAATCAAACAGTTCCAGTCGACCTCCTCCACACCTCCACACCATGACATTCGCAGTGACTGCATTTCTGAATTTCATGGCTCTAGAGTCACCCTGCATTGTTGTGAAATCAGATCATCATGAACAATAAATCCAATTGGACAAGAATCATAGCGTTTATTGTTGTCATATGTTTGTAGTTGAAACAAGTAGATCTTGAAGAACAACTTAAATCTCCACCAATGGATTTGACATGTGATATCGGTTCATCCATGTTCATCCAGTTGGGGTTGATCTACACTGCAGTTTGGTTCCACAGGTTCCAAAGGATTATTTGCGGGTGGTTCTGTGAGTGGTAATTAAGGTCCAGGAGGATCACCTGGCGTAGTACCTGGAGTGTTTTTCAAGGTTATCATTCCATTCTGGTGAATCCACTTCTATAGGCATCGAGTGCATATTGTGATAGTTTTCAAGGTTCCTTAGCAAATCCAAGGGCTACAAGGGTGTTTGGTCATCACTCCCGGCTCCCGTCCAGACTGGCATCGTGTTGTGGACCGTGCAAGGTTCTACCAGTTCTTTTGTTGGCCTTGTTCCCCATGTGGCAGAGACTTAGACACTTGGCGAACAAGATCCTTTTTTGCTTAGACACTTCTTCCATGTTGTTTTGATCAGAGGATAGGGCCAGAGCAGCCACTCACGCCGTCATTTGGAACTCCGCCCGTCCTTCGTCATTGGTTGGTTGGTTGAATCGTAACTGCGTGTTCGTTAGCTAGTTAGTTGAAGGTTGTTTCGTTGAGAATCAAGTTAATCAGTTAAACATTGATGACTGTTAGCCAATGAACTGACTTGGCCTGGAGAGGTCCAGCTGGTTTTGAACATCCAAAGAAAGAATCCACCTCTCAGTGATGGACACAATTGGATTGAAGAGTCTGTGATCCTAGACTTGATGTTGAGATGGATGTTGACGGGTCTTTGGTGCACCCACCGGAAGTCAGCGAAGTCAGGGGCAAGTCAGAATCGATGCCAAAGAAGAATATGCCTAAGAAGATGAAGATCGGAGTGGGTATGGGATGGTATGGGTGGTGTTGTTGTGTTGTCGCAGAGACAAAGGAAGAAGATATGTGGTGAGGGGTCGCAGTTTGTGTTTGCACTTTGTTCTAGTAGTAGTCGTCGTAGTCGTAGTAGTATATAGAAGTCGTAGTCGTAGTCGTAGTCGTAGTCGTAGTCGTAGTCGTAGTCGTAGTCGTAGT